GTTGTCGAGGCTGGTTGACATGCAAACCCGACGCAAGGCGATTCGGTTCCTCAGTCCCAAACGATGAGCCTACAAGAAGAGTACTACTAACGGAATATGTGTAAGAGAAAGGGAAAGTTATTTAAAACAGAAGGAAATCCGGCGTCAGAATGAATTTTTTCGCTTGGTTGCCCTGCTTTGCACAGCAAGCAAGGCGACACGCCTGTTTAAATCATGCGACTGCCGTTTTGGCCTTTAGCTCAAAAGCCGACAGCAAATTAGCGGGTTATGACGTGAGACTACATTTTGTCGCCACGTTCAAGAAACTACGTGTCCCAACCCCCAACCTGGAGGACCAGAAGACTGCGCAGTTCAGGGCTCAAACCTGCAAGCTGTCAGGGTAAAGTTCAATTTCTCCATGACGGAGCTGTCTCTGTGTATATGACTAAATGATACTTATCGAATAGGTAGCTCACATTTTTGATTGCCATTTAGGTGGTCAGCAAAAGAAGATTAAATGGAGTAGTTCAACAGAAAATTTCGGAGTGCACCTCATCCAGGAGGATGAATTACCCCACATTCCGGTCATGTAAGTTTCGTCCATATGGCTAACCTTTTGTTCGCAATCAATTTCTATAAATGCACACTATAAGGCTCTGATCTACAGCACCTAAGTATTCAAAATCATTTGGAACTACCTTGAATTAACAAACCAAAGAAATACAGCAGGCCGATGAAATGCAGCAAACAGGACTAAAAGTAGGTCATCAGATCTTTTCAATTAGACAACAGTGTTTTACAGTCGGCAAATTGAAAATAGTCTTTTGTCAAACCCTCAACATGCAGCCAGGTTTCAACCTGGTGCAGGCATTGGAATATTCTAGCATTTTAGTTTGTAGGAAAGGACTGTCCAAAACGAAATTTTTAGAAGCTAATTCACTACTACTTTGCTCGCTTTGGCTTGGAATTCTCAAACAAACCGTCAGTTTTTCGACTGGGGAATCATTATGCCGCTTCATCCGACAAGTTAATCTATGAGGCTTTTAGGGAAATGAACTATTTTGCACAGCCGTGTCCATTTACGGGAATTTTCTATCTTGTCCGTGAATCGGAGCGCTGACAATTAATTATTTGCATCAGATATGTTTACGTTGCAGTGCAAGGCCATTTAAAGTGTGCTTTGGAGTGTGAAGTCGTTATCAGCTCATCTCAGTCTTTGTTGAGAATCTGTTGGAAGACATTGGAACAATGACTTGTAGGGGAGACCAAAACGAGGAAGGGATCATTTGCGAAAGTTGTGAATAACAGTAGTTAAAATGCGCTTTCTGTCTTTTCAATGTATTCTCAACCTTCAGGACACAAGGCTCTTAATAGATTTAATTACCCTTTTCATTTGCCAATCTACATTCGGTTCTTGCTTGCCCTGAAAAAAAAACTTATAACTTACTTCTTCGGAATATGGTTAAAGCTTCAACGGTTCTGTTTGCGCGCAAACTAACATCTAATCTCAAAGGAATGTTATTCCTGTCAGTGTGTGCCCTTTTCAGTGAAACAAGTTGCTGAAATGCCAATTGGATTTTTTCCCATCACAGCTCTTCTGGGAGCCCCAGTTTTATGGAGAATAGATCTGAATAATTTAAGCTACTTTACTCCATGTATACAAGTCGGCCGATAAAGTGACTCACAGACTTTAATTCCAACAGAAATTGCCTGTTGCTGTTATGCCCCGCACAGCTGCGGTCCTGATTACATAGTAGAAAGGACAGGCTTTTATAAGACTGCAGTTCACGGGTGGTCACCTAACCAAATCCGTACGGCAAAAGTTACGTGCTGTAATCGTTGGTGGGTTTACAACCTCTCAAATAATCCCGCTCTTGTCAACGAAGAAAGTCAACCTCCGATGTACGCCACTTACTGTAACCAATCTCCCTGTTTCACACTTCGTTTACCAACTCACATGCGAAACATACCTTGACAAAACAGATAGGAGCTTATATGAACATGTCTCAGAACATTCCCCTATTTTCTGAACCAGGTTTCTAATTGATCGACCAAGAGACATACCTCATCCACCGCCAAACACTGGACACAGAAATGATCCCAGCACCGCATTCACCATTATACTGTGCAACGCCAACTCAAAAAATGTTAGCTCTCAGTGGGCTCATGTTGATAAATCAATACCGACCCAGCTAGTGTGCACAAAAGACTCGGACACAAGCTCTCAGGTTGTCTTGGGCTTAAGAACCGGATCTGATTGACCCGCCATAAGGTTGACTCTGTTCCACTGTTTTGTTGCTATTTCCCACTATATATGACGGAAGATAGATGGTTCTAATGTTGCTGAAGCGAAACGTCGGAAGCCCGTGAACTTGTCCGATTGTACTATTCAGTATGATCTGAACCGGCGTAATTTAATACCAAAGTTATACAGCAGAAGATAAGAAAGTGTATCGCTAAAGCCAGAGTACTAAACATGATTGAGAAACGTTCTCTGAGGTAATGAATCCAGTTGGTGGTAGAGCTCCATACATCAGCACACAGCATACTTTCCAATAGGGATTCCTTCCCATAAGTTGAACTAATCGTCTATGCTGAAAAAGTTTCGCAGGCGTTTCATCCTTAGTGGGATCATAGGCAGTGCACATCTCACGAAACTCAAAGGAGTTTAGAACCCGTGAACTGCTGGTCTTGCAGTTTGAACACCTAAATGCCTTTCATGCACACAGTGACGATTACCAAAACGGACGAAACAGTCGTAAATTGCTTCTTGGCTTTTCACCAGTGATTGATTTCACTTACATGATGTATTCTCAAATGAAGCTTTTCAAATCACCTCACACTATCATCATATAACACATTGGTAAAATCTAATGGTTTGAAAACAACCTGTGCCTTCTTCTGTAACGTTAGTCAAAACCGAGGGGCTCTACGCTATACTTTGTCCAATCACGCATTCGTTTGTATGGCTTAGTTGAGAGCATATATGCCCGTTAATTTTTAGCCCAACCGAGTCTTGGTGATGAAATACGCGTTGCAGAAATGTTACTCATAGCATATTAAGGAAAATAAATTACATTATTCAAGATCTCTAATATTATTCATTCTAGTTCCTCGGCCCCATTATTCAAGTAAAGAAAATGTTCTTAAGTTATTTTTAACCTTTATCTGGAATTTCTAAGTTTGCTCAATCTTACCACGAGATACGAGGTGTGACTGCCTCGGGAAATTTAGAATTTAGAATTTAGAAAAACAGCAGAAAACTTGCCCAGCTTATGACTAGGAATAAGGTCCTCCTTAGTGTATTGTCGAACGTTGTTCTTGTCTGTCTTATCATTCCCAATTATCACCGAAGACAAAGTCTCTACAAACCAGGAATCTGAAAGCTAATACGTTCACAGACTGTTTTGCTACGTGGCAACGTGGCATTGGAAACTAAATCAATGATTCAAAGTCAACGACTGCAAAATAAAACATGGGGATGTTAATCGATAAATGGCGAACAAAGACCAGTGAAAGTGTGTTATGTCATCCCCAAGTGGAGATATTATACCGATGTAAGCGGGTCCGCAGCTGTAGGCGAGTCTGACATGAGAAGTGGATAGATTAGGCCGACAATCGTGCAGAGAAAATTATCGGTTGGCTATTACCTAAGCATTCTCTAAACCATAAGTGAGTTTGCGTCTTAGTACAGGATTCACGTGGGTACCTTTGAATTGAAGGAAGAGGTGTGTCTTTCTCAATGACTGAATAAACGGGGTTGTTTTTGTTCTGGCGCTACCGCTAACCTCACTAACGCTCGCTTCAACAGAGCTCCTTTGGAAAGTTTCTTATCTTTCTCAAGTTACTGCGAACCAAATTGTCTTTTCGCTCAGGAGAATAAATTCTTTTCCAGCCTGCGTCCGTGAGCTACTGTGGTGTGATTTTGGAACTGTGAATACCGAACGCTGTACATGTTCTTGCATCAGACACGGTGCTGCAGAGTCTGTCGGTACGTTTACAACTAGACTCATCCAAGGAAATTAGGCTGCCACTTGATTAGCACTCACATGTCAGGAGATTAATATGGGTTTAATTAGAGGTTCCTAAAGGGGTTGAAAACACAGTTTCATTACTAACGTTACCAACCTGCCTAAACAAGGATAATTTCGAAGTTTTTATTAGAAGACTTTTGTTCAGTCGTCCATAGAGATTCCACTAATGTTGGGCCTAAACGATCGCTCACAGCAATACCACCAACTTGTTTACGTGCTTGTCTCTAATATTCCAATCTAAAGTGTGAACAATACACATTCCGCAAACCCCACAACATGCATCAGCAAAAGTTGTCCAGCGGGTTTCAATCGTCGTGGCCCTACCTGGCTGGGAAGTCCTGACAAACGGGCTAATCGATCGTCACAACCAAGACAGTTACTGGGTCGTCGTATCAATGATGTGTCGGGCGTACCAATCACATCGCTCATGCGTGAACATGAGCGACGTGACGAATCAGATGCTTCCAACGTACACTGATGGAATAGTGGTAACACTTTCGCCTCCCATGTCAGTTGCCCGTAGTTCAAACCCTGGCACGACCATTGGATATGCAGCTCTAATGAGAGCGAAACTCGAGTCCAGTGCTTCCCCCCCTCTTTGGTGTGGATTCACCAGAATAATTGCGCCAGGAAAGAAGGACGACTGTTCAAACAACAGTGATGTGAATGTGAATTATCAAAAATTGTTTGTTTAGAGTAAAATCAGGTCACCAATGCGAGCGGCATGAAGCCTCAGAATCATATTATGTCGGTGTATGAAGTCGCGTGAAAATTAAACTGTGTCCTCGATGGGCACATTGGTAAGAAATGAATCCACGGTAATGGAAATTACTTACCAGGGATTCGCCACGATGTGACTCAGACTTTTTGCCAGTTTAGAGGGAGATAGTGGAAGATATTGAAGATATAAGCTTTTGCATACTGGGTCAGAGAGTCTAACCAACCAACCAACCTGCAGCTTTCTGGCAAGTTGAATTGTTCATAATAATGCTGGGTCTCAAAGGGTACATTTTTGAGGCACCCCGCGTAGGTATGTTGAGGGTTCTCATAGGTCTCAGGTGCTGATATCTCACCTATGTGATGTAAATTTCAAACCAGACGATCAGGTACAATCAACCCATGGAAAATGAATCGTAGCCTTTCTGATACTCAGAGGTTCAAACATGATAATAATCCAGAGGAGAATCAGTTTGTAGTGAAATAATTCACCGGCCACTTGCAAATTCAGAAGCTTCATGCGCTGATCAGACAGCCTGTAGAAATCAACCAATCACTTTCGAACAACCCTGTTCCTTCTTTTTGTTTACATGACTGGCGTGGTTAAGTCCAACACTGAATGGGATGGACGAATTGTTGACAAGTCACAGCAAACAACTTTCAGATTTGAAGTGAGCACTTTTTCACTCCATCTACCTTGCTAAGCCGCCTAAATAAGCAATACATAGGAGTGCAACAAAACTTTCGTTTCTCCCATGAACTTTAGACTACAGGAAGATTGGGGAATCTCCGTTAACGATGAGGAGGCATCAAACGGGATCATCGCCACCTAGCAAGAATAGAGAGGGAATTGCAGCCTAAGGTAAAATCACTGCCAACCGACTAAAAGTGTCCGTCGAAAACATTCTACACTTGTTCTATGGGTTTCGCAGAGATTATAACTATATTACAGACGTGACCTCATGAGTCTCTCCCATAATGTGGAGTGATGTGTTGCGTCAGTAGTGCGTTGAGTAATCACATGAATGTTTATGTACTTACTGGTAATGGAGGATGATCTTCGATTCTGATCAAAGTTTTACCTATGCATTGACGTTCACATGTTGTTTGACTGTGCGCTTTGTAACCTCCATCTATCGGCCGTCACAAAGACTATCTTTGACCTTGACCTCTGCGCGCTTCCTGTTACTTAGTCCCGAGGACACTCCAATCTGTGTATTTAGTACAGTAGCAACAGCAGTAGAAAGGTAGTGACTTCGCTTTACGCTCAGTCTGTTATCAGGGACGTTCTCTTTAGTGAAGTGGCAGATATTGTTTATAATTTTGCTGGGCAAGCTGGCCTATACTGTGGACATCCACTAGACGGTCTGTCTGAGATCTTAAACCTACAGACGTAGTGCAGCTTTGCTCGCAGTATAAGATATGAACAGATGAATAATGCCGCAAACGGAAGACCGTTGGGACCAGTGCTCGTGGACACACTAAGGACCATTTTGGGTAAGAACGCTTGGAGGATACTGCTGTCATAGAGATGATGTGTTGATAATATATTTGCCACTCTTTTGACAACAACCTAACAGAAGAAACTGTCTTATGTTCAGCAACGTAGACAGCCAATTAGCAGTTACAGTGGAAGTTGAACAGAACGATAAAATGGCATTTCTTGTGGTGCTCCTCGCTACGCAGAACAGTGGATGGTATCTTCAGGTCAGCCACACTGACAGGAGAACATTCGCGCTCCCTCAGGCCTTATCATGTTATCATAGCCAACAAAATTACACAAGAAGTTTAGATGTCCAAATATACCATGACTTTACCCCTTGCAATTCAAAAAGAAAGTATTTCCAATACTGCCCAATCAGTCGTTTCGCAACAAACTACATACAACCTAGCCCGGCCTAAAATGGCCCAGTTGCCATGTTCGTCAGATCTACCAGATTAGCTTTATCCGCAGGGCTCGGAACATCGTCCGAAAAAACATGCACTTTGAAACACCAGTAGCAGAACATGTACCGAAGAGGCATGATAGAGTAGAGTTACGTTATCTGAAATCTGCTACCAGTAAACATCCTAAGTGACAGTGATTGCGTCCTAAACCTCGTGACGGTTTGAACACACTCACAGATGAAATCTTATCACTGCTGAGGCAGTGACAGTGCACCTTTTTTAGTCTCATATTATGTGCAAAAAAGCTGTTGATAACTAACACATTTTCAAATCGGAAGTCCATTTTTGTGCCTACATTTTTTGTCATTTTTTCATCCTATCACCTGACCCTGTAACCAATATTTAACTACGCAGTCCATGGGTGCACTGCTTCTAAATCTTATCATCATGATAGCATATCTGACACGTTTCTTCCTCTGTTCTCTCAAGATTAATAGACTTTATCATTTTAACGTTGCAGGACAGTACTCATGTGACATGAACGTGCAAAACACTGCAAATACGCCCATCGCCATATGACTGTCTAATGTAATATTTTGGGAGTAACTGCTTAGCTGCGGTTCAGATGTCCATGCACAAGACAACTTACGCCCTAAAACTGGCCTTCTGTAATCAGAGGGATCGGTCTTACCGACATACTAACAACGTGAGCTAACAATATCCTCTTTAGTGGCAAAAGTTTTGAATTATCTATAGGAAACATTCTGGAACTTCTCAGCCCACTTTCCATTATATAGCTTCACGTATACTGCAGTTGTATAGGATGTTCTCAAAGCCTCCTCCTCAAAGAAAAAAATGTTCCGGGTAGGAAAATGCGTGTGCTCTTTTTATCGAGCTACCAAACCGCTACCCTCAGATGGCCCAGAGAGATGGCTTAGTGGGGAGATGGCTCAGTTGTTAGAACGCGAATTTACCGACAGAAAGTTCTGTGGTTCAAACTCGACCTCTGCATTTGGACTTCTCCTGTCTAGGGTTGGGAAACTTGGCAGTATCCCAGCCCTCGTGCTTCCTTTGGGTAAAATGGTAGCTAGACACCGAAAGGGTTTTGCAGCTAAATGATTATCTTATTTTAACCTCAGATTCCATAAAGAATCTGCATATTCAGAACTTCCGGTTACTCTGGAATCAGCTGACTGGCATCCTAACTATATTTTCGTTCCTTCCTAGTACTGCGGAAGACCACGCTTTAATTATCAACTATCCGCTTTTGGCAGGATTTCAAGAATGCACAGTACCTGTTTTTTGCAAGTATGATGAGATCAAATTCGACGACAATTTGGTAACTCTATTTCTGTGACTGCACTATAACTCGTCTTTGGTCGTGAACTGAAAGGGCTTCTAGAAAGTTGGGTTAGTTGATGGTGCACTACGTATATCATATCCCAAGGCCAAAATCGTTCCTTAAAAGTTAAAAGTAACGTGAGAAAAACAGTAAAGCTGTGGACTGCGTTGATAACATACTCACCCTGTTCGGTGCCGAAAATTTTACTCTTATGTTTGTATTTACTTCTCACAAATCTCAGGAAAGATAGGAGAAAGCTGTTCGCATGTAAGTTACTAAAGATCCATTTAGACATAATGGCAAATTTTCATCCATTAGTTTATCATCGCTGTTGATAGGGGAACGGAGTAGATCGTATAACGGCATCAAACAAATTAAAACTAATCAGAGGGAACTCCAAAATAATGCACACAGCTTGGTCCGTAATTTTGACCCTAACATTTGTCCGACGGTTAGCTTCTCAACCGTTTCACACGTATCATGCAAATGCTCATTACATCATTGTTTGCAGCAACACCAGATGCGAACACTGATGTTTCAATGCCCTACGAGCGTATCAGTTTGCTTATATTAAAGCTTATAACGGAAATAAGAAATCAATGGGAGAGGGTGGAGGACCAAGAGCTAGTCTACAAAAAACACCCGAGGTGTCTACCCCTTAACACTCATTCAGACGATCGGTATAAAACTGGCAGAAAAAACGCCCATCAGCAAGCCCTCTCTATCAGTGCTTCCAAACAAACACAGCAAGGGTCACGTAGAATCCATCTTAGCAGACGAACAGCACCATCATTCCCTTCGATCATGTCACATTCTGCCCACCTCCAGGTACTCGTCACTCCGAATTAGGTAAGCGAAACCACGCTTGTCATGTCGGCTGATAAATCGGTATGAGTAACCCATGGCCCATCCACTCTAGCAGACAATAATGGGCTCATTATTTGAGTGTAATATCCTACGCTTCACCAAAAACCCGTTCCTAGCAAAATACACTCATTTGCATACCAGTTTGATTTTGACAGGATGCTTACCTGGAACCCAGCTGAGTCTGTCGTTTATGATGTTTCCAAGAAGATGAATGTGCCGCACCAGTCCACCTCGTGCTTCAGTTGGTACGACTTTCGGTATGTTGTGATACATTACAGACGCAACACACCACTCACAAGGGTGTTGGAAACTCTTCAAGAGCTTACAAGTGGTTTAACCCTTCTGGGTGCTCATTGGACAGAGGCAATCCTCGTGGTTCTCTCAACCGTATGTTCTACTTGAACCCAAATTGGATAGGTTTCGACAACTATGCTCATTTGCATTTCAGTTTGGTCTTGACAAGTGACTCACCTGAAACCCAGCTGAATACTTCGTTCATGGTGTTTTTAAGCAACCATAAGAGTAGTGTATGGCGTCTTTACATGTATCGCGATATCTCGGATGTCGTACCAACTGGAACATGAGGTGACCTGGTGCAGCATATTCAGTTGCTTACGAACATCATAAACGATAAATTCAGCTGGGTTTCAGGTGAGTTTCTCGCCCCAAAAGGGGCGAAACCTGTCGCGGGCTCTCGAAGAGATTTCAGCAAACTTATGAGTGGTGTTTGACTTTAAAGACCCGTGTCCCGATAGCCTTATTGTGGATTCGCCGAAGTTTTTGGATAAAAACGACCAAGATCTGATATTGTCTTGAATCCTCCACCCAAAACCGTCAAGTTTTTCAGCCGTATATCAGTAAGGCCTGCGTTATAGCCCAATACTTGAGACCCAGTGGAATGCTTTTTTGACTCGACAAGATTCGTGCGGCGGGATTGTCTGTCACACTACCGTCAGAGTTAATGCAGCTTTAAGGTACGTGATGTGTCCCACAACCTATAGTGTCAAAACTTTAGTCCTCAGAGGCATATTCAAAGGCCGCTGGTGCCGCAGCCTGACTTCGCACTTGCGGACGCCAAGTATGCAGATGAAGTCGGTAACCTTTTTAACTAATGCATACGCTACCAGAAATTTTTTCAAAAATGAAAACAATACTGTCTGTATATTCCTGGTCGACAAGGAGCCCACCCGGGGAGGTCTGAATACCGGGATTTTCGACCCTCTCGCTTTATTATATCGTTAACGTAAGTGAACAATAAAATTTATCTCTTTACTGGGCATCGCCGCCTGTATCGGAGCTTTTGGAGAACTCCTGATACATCCTCTGCGACCAAAAGTATGTGAATGCAAACCGCACATGATATTCACGAACTTGCGAAAGCTTCTTGAGAACAATTAGCATGTCAACAGGGGCAAACAAACAAATATTTTACGGCCCATGTCATTGCTCTAACACTTGACAAATTATGAAAGTATAGTCCACATAGCCCCCTTCCGACTAGATTCCCTCTTGTTCTTCTGGGAGCCCATCTTCACGCGCATCTGTAAGATTACGTTAAATAAGCGACGGCAGAATATGATTACGATGGGGGTCGAACTAATTCTTCCGCGACCGTCACACCCACTGCACATGTTTATTTCTAGAAAAGTAACACTACTTTCTACTCATTCCGGTTAAGCGAGGTCACTTGGTGACTTAGAACAATGCCAACTTTGACAAAACCAGCCGAAGCGACTTCCAGATCACCAGAGATTCGCAACCGCAATCAACAGGAAACTGGAGGGAGGTTAATTTAACGACCTCATTCGGGTTCTTAGACTTCGCTTCAAACAAACAACATACATCAGTGGAAGGTGATTCCAGCGCACGTGAAATAGCAGCCTGTTGTCTAGCTTGTTTCAGAGCCTGAATGTTAACGACTGTCAGATGAACTGAGTATCTTGGCTTGAAGGGTGATTTCGAAGTGTCTGCAGTCGTGGCGGCCGAGTCAATCGTAGATATTGCAGTTCATAGCAGTGGACAGTGAGCAGGTCTTTCAGACCTTAAGAATGGGCCTACATGTATATTAGCAGCAATGCCACAAGGAGGGGAAGCAGAATGGATATGGGAAAGAGGAAGAAGGGAGGCATCAGCAGTGGCTTGTTTTCGTTTACCCACCCTGCTGTATGCGACAAGTAAGGAGATCCAGTAGGTGACACCGGCCGACGGCCGATATGGTATGAAGTTATTTCCGAGTGTGCAATTGATGGTTATACGTGGCTGAAGTACTTCCAGGGCCCCCATGCCTAGAGGTTAGGAAAATTAGTGTCCTCCACCAAGGCCAGCTGACAAACTTCCTGGCAGTGATGGTTGATTTGAAACCAACAGACCATCCAGCAACAACTTAAAACCTACGTCACACATTCTAAACCCAAACCTGGAAGGCCAGAAAACTGTGTTACGTGGGCCTCCATCCATTTACCAAACCTTGTGAAATATGCTCTGTGATTGTCAAACGTACGCTCTCCAGCATAGTTCATCGGGATATGGATGTGCACGAACAGTCCGATTTCTTTGAGATCCTGTCTCTTCTTGATGATGGGTAAATCCCAAGCCCTACAATTGAATAATTTCACCCCTTATTTATGAAAATGAACGGACGACTGGGGGATTATCATCCATTGCGATTACGCTTCAAAGTAATACGCAGCCGGTTGGCTTGCATAAACATTATCAGAGTTTTGAAGATAGATAAATCATATCCCATGGGAGAACATTACACGAGCCACAAATTCTTCCCGGTGCTGGTGATTATTCTGCGCCCTTATTGACGCAGCAATCAAAAAAACCTTTACTGCAACCGCGCTTCGGACGCTCCCCGGAGTCAAAATTAGTTAATCGCCATCCAAATCCGTGACTTCACTCATTTCATTTCCTTAATCAGCGACGGACTGCATGTGCTTTTTAAAACCGTCAAACCAGAAGTAAGATCCGTGTTTGAACTGATTACCCTTAAGGGTGTGGCTATTCGCGCGTTCTCGAATTGCGTGATGTTTCATTCATCTATTTCTCGCTCATTTATGTCGTCGCAAATTCCCCTGTACATACCGATTGATTTTTAATATTGGTCATTTTCCCCTGTTCTATCGATTCTACGCCTTTCTGTATTGTCGCCCGTTTGCTAATAAAGCCATATTCCAGGTATGTCCCCGTTTCTGTCAGCTTTGTTATCTTTATGACATCTTAATGAAGTGTGTTCATCACTTGTATTCTGATGCTAGCTTGGTAATCGTAATCACTTCGAATGAGTCGTAATACACTATTCATAAGGTTTCTGAAAATTTTTCGACAGTCAACAACCGGTTTTGCCCTCCTGGAGCAGGCGCAGCCCCCGAATTTCCGTCAACCTTATGTTTTAATTGAACCCAAAGTGAACCAATTTAACGGAATGCACTTATTTTCAAGCAAATTCGATTTTGTGAGAGCTTCATTCGAAACTCAGTTGAATCTCTCCTTTATGAAGTTTCTAAGGAGGACAAAACCGGTCGTGAGCTGGCTAGGTCTATACATGTATCGCGACATTTAGAATATCGTACCAACTGAAACATGAGACGGCCTGATTCAGTATACTCAGCAGCTTAGAAACATCATAAATGAGAGATTCACCTGGATCCCAGATGAGTCTCCAGCAAAACCAAATTTGTTCGCAAATGAGTTTATTTCGCATTTCGAATGAGCCTCAACCTCAAGCATCGTCGCGTAAAATCAGTTTTTACATGTACTTTTTCGTGCACGACAACTGGTCTAGTGGATACTACGTGCAGAATGTTAACCTTGTAACATGAAAACCAATAATGGAACGAATTGGGTGCTACCGACTTGGCGTAACAATTGTCTGCCCCGAAAAAGATAAAGCTGCGTAAAATTTGTTCGTACAAACCGTATACCTTTCACACACAATTGACTATGTAGATAACCAGACATCACAAAGGACTGTTGGTTGTAAGGCAGAAGCAGAGGGTGCAGTTTTTACCAGTGATTATAGGGAGCTTTAGTTAACCGATCACTTTACACTTAGTAAGTGTAAAGATGTATATATATATATATATATATAGCCACAGCAGATATGAGTGTCTCCTGAAATTCTAATTCTCCAGGTAATCATATGTATCACACTTATAAATGTCCCCTCCCCCCTACCGTACATTTATGGCTGCAAATCGATTTATCAGGAAGGTGACTCATTCTTGTGCAGACAAAAGGCGTTAGAAAAAGACCAAGCTTCGTGTTGAAAAGAATGACAATGACGGAAATGGTAACCCAACATCCTAGGTCGGTGGCACCAAAATATGGTATCGTACTTGGAAAATTTCATTTGATCCAAGTAACAGAAAAATATTGAATCCCAAAAATGAATCTTCTGTTTGATATGCAAATGCATTCGCCTTGTTTCAAAAGGTACCGAATTCAATCCATTTGTTCTGATAGCTAGACCCATTTAGTCATGTAGTACCTTGTGAAGTCTCCATCAACTTACGTTATATTGATTAGGTGGGCTTTTGCTCTCTTCCAAAGATGGTCCATCCATAGCCAAGCAGCCCTTCATCTGATTTTTGAAGAATTATACTTGTCCATATTACTTGAAGCTACAGTCGTCAACAAGCTTGGAAGCCATTGGTCACAATAAAAGCAATCTTTAATGCAGTTCACCCAAATCAGCTGCCGCGAAAATCCGTCATAGGCCACAAGTATCTCCATTTCGTCATTTATAGGAGGATGTGTTAGCAAAATAACAAATTGTCCAGGGAAAAGAGCGTACTTGGGAACTTGTGACCACACTACAGAATGCTGATATTACTCAGTGCCTTCCTTAGTGGGGAATGGGACTTAACTTGGAAACCCGTGGACCGCATATTTTTGGTATGTTAGTCAAGGCAAACAGGAAATCAGGCAACCTAAAGGAGTTCCATGTGAGAGGCCTTCTTGTCTGCCCCACAAAATTTAACTTTTCTGCGTTTCCACCAAGAAAAATCCAAGTCAAATATCATAAATTAGCACTGAAAACTGCACAAGCAGTGCACCATCTACATTCTTAATTTATGCTACTCATCAATTTTGCAGTACCACGAGCGAAATGACAGTCGCAAAATTTTGTTGTTTACACTTGAAATTGCCCCTCCAAAAGGGGGAACAGACAGCAAATTACGTATCATTATATGGTAATAAGTGGATCATACTGAAACGAATTCGTCAATAAAGAACCAATTTAATGTAGACATTTTCTTTTTCGAACGCATATATATATATCTTTAAATGTTTGTAGGTTGTAGGCGATGAGGAGACTTCGAATTCCCCAAACTAAGTTATGCGTCCACCTTTCCGGTATTTTTCATCTATTAGTACTCCTCTTAGAAAAGTGCTACACTAACAAGCTCGGAAGACCCACTCTTGGAAGCCGAGAGTCAAAGAAACAATTATTAGATTAGCATGTAAATTAAAAGGTGTTTGATTGTTGGTCGAGGTGACATCGTCGGTGCAGTGATGAAACGTTTGCAATCCAACTGCCAAGCCCCGCGAACAGACCAACAACCAAACAGCGCACCCGAGCTAGCTACATTTCACGACATTGCTAAAAGGTGTTATTGAATAAAGAATCAAAAGTGAACCATGCTCAGATAAACAGAAGGATATTTGATCTCACAAGTTTGCTGAAATCTCTTCGACAGCTCAAGATCCGTCTCACCCTTCTTGCGTGGCATAATCGGTTGAAGAATATCATAAACTTCAGATTCAACTGGGATTCAATTGAGCTTCCCGCAAAATAAACAAATCGGTGCGCAAGTGTGTGCATTTCACTTTCCGATTTGATATTCAAGTTTCAGAGTACTTTGTTGGGGGATGTACCAGGGACAACTCCAAAAATAAGCAAGCGGCTGCGGGTGTGTCACAACAGTTTGTCGTGAGTTGAATTCACATTCAGGGTGGGAAATCAGTAGGTCACCATACTCAGCATGCAATATGACAGTTATTCCATAAACAGTTTCAAATTCGCACTCGCAGGCTGTGGATTTCGGGTCACAGAAAGTTAATAAATTCATTCCACCGCAGATTGCCTCATAGGATCAGAACAGCTGAGCTTGATTTTGAATAATGTATGAGCATATTATACACGCATGAGAAAAAGTTCTTTACTAAAATGAAAGTTTCAGTTAGATGTGTTTCTTCTTGAGCTGCAACTGACTTATGTTCGCAGGATAAGTGCAACGTACACCATCTCCAATTGAGTGCTACTCCAACCAAATTGGGATGCATGATGTAGTGTAAGTGGGAAAAAACTCTGGATTAAACTGATGCAGTAATTATCGTTTGGCACAAACCTTTTTCCACCATATACTGTTTAATGAACATTCGGTAGGTGAGTCCGATACTTATTACCCCACCGTGACTCAAAGAAGGGCTCAAGTGATGATGTGCAAAATTTAATAAGGGTCCTGGGACAAAGCCCTGCTATATTAACGCACCTGACTAATATCTGTGAGCATCTTTGTGCATCACCCTCCGTCCGTTGCAATTTGCAACATTTCGGCAATGTAAAGTGGCAAAAATAATGAAAGAATTTTTTGAAATGCAAACATCCACATTAGGTGTTCACGCAGGTAGGCACTGAAATCTGCAACAAACTTCGTTTTGCTCAATTGAACTTCGTCTGGAGGTACCACATCCTACAAGTTCCGTTTATCACCCTGTGGTCTCAATACCACCATTATCTGTGTGCATTATTTGATTCATTGTGGTTCACTCAGCTCTCTGCCTGTGTGGATGTGATCTTTGCCAGTGAGATCACACCCGTCAATTCTTACGAACAGTCTTCCTGTTTGGACCAGTGACTGGTGCACTGATTGATTTTTTGGTCACAAGAGGTCGTTTCAAAGTTAAGACAACTTGAGAAGCGGTGGAAAGTTCAGGATCCCCAGAAAAGGCAGAAGTTTGTTCCCAGTAATGTGCGAGGTAAAGCGCTGTCATTTCCAAGACCATACAGTTGCGTTGTCGAAGTCAAAATCCCATTAAAAGTACGCTGCACACTGAGGGAACTAATGAACAAGTGCCTATTCCTTTTTTCTCGCGGACAAGTTAGGCCTTTTTTCGTTTGCTTTAAAGTAAATTGTTTCCGGTCATATTCCATTGTGCTCAAAGAACAAGCTGTACGTCCAATTTGTCGCTGGTTTTTTTGTCACGTAGGTTTACAATCTTATTACAATTCAGATGTGAAGCTGGGCGAATAAATCGACATTGCATGTCTGACTGATAGAACTTTCTAGCCGAGCGCATCCATTGTGGACATAATGAGCTAAGTAATTTGTCACCTACCGTTGTTATTACCGAATGTATTATTGAATGTCCATCATTTTGAAAGCTCCTATTATCCTTCCTAGTAATCCAGTATGTATGTGTGAACCAAAATCGACAAGCTCATTAAGATAAATGAAAACGATTCATCTCAACCACTGATACATTTCATTCGAACATCGTTGTTTCCATAATCAGAAGTACTTTTTCGAGTCATCTCATATGTCCCCCTCTAAATAACCACATGGGGTGATTAATGGAAGGTTTGACGACAGTTGTCAATATTCAACAAGTAGTCGGGTAGTGGAAGACACACAGGTTTACTCGGGAAGCAATTCAGAGTTGTCATACTCAGCCATAAATTTCTTTAAACTCGTTACGAATTTGAGAGAATTTGAACTGGTCAAACATTCCCATCTCATTATGTATGCAGTTAATCCCAACACAACCGTTTTCGCCGCCTCCAGATTTAAGGCTCTGAAGAGATTTGACAGCACTATTTGAATCATTTATTAAATTTTCACTTTTTCCATCAAAACCGGCACATGAATTTTCGGCTGATAAGGTTGTTAGACTGAACAAAAGCTGGGACTAATTTTATTGCACTCCAATCTCATCCCGACCCTTGAGCTGAGCCTTTCATGCATGAGCTGTTGATATTTCCCACACAGCTAACGTCTTCAGTCAAATGAAATACTGTTTGTGATTATTTCTCAAATTAAATTAAGTCAGTGTGACTTTTATATGACTGAATCAAAAGAACAGTGCTCCCCAACAATTGTTTTAAAGTCTAGTGGAAAACTACTCGATTCAAAGTGTTGTAATGAAAAGAACTAATTAAGGAATGAACGATAACCCCAAACATCGGGAGTGGAATTTCATTTAGCATACATGTGGTGAGGTGACCAAACTTTGAATTTGTGCACTTTTAATGGCAAAAACAAAGCGGCATATCAAATATCACACCCTGATAGGTTTGCTAACGGGGAGGATAACAAAAGCAGTCATGCGTTTTTCACAACACCTGAATGTCCGCTCAAAGGAGTATCCCAGTTATTTCACTGTGCATTATCTCGTGGAAAAAAATAAGAACTAGGTTGCAGAGTACTACTATTTTTCTACATTTTGATTCGTTAAAAATAATGAGTCAAGACAGATCAGGAGTCCATGGAATGAAATGAATTTCATAAACCACTGTGTGAGCCTCTTTAACCCGGATGGTCGTACGGATGATTCAAACTTTTTGTTAATCGGTTTAATTGTCTGACTGGCGTGACTCAGCCGAGAGATTCAGGCATTTATTTTGATTCTTTCTTGACATACTCGAGATCCCTCATTTAAAGGCGGTGATATACCATCTCTAGGCTAGATAAGGGGCGGGTAAATGTTTTCTGATCGGTACCTATTTAAATTCTTCCCTCCCATCGGGTGAGTTTAAGTACTTATCCGAGACAGATCATGTTTCTACCGTCATGGAAGTTATTGATTTGGAACACACAACCAGAAACCATTGAGACTACTACACGGTTCTGTGTATACCCATTTAAATCATTTGGCTGCTTTTATGTGGTATGAAACGTTAATTTTCGTCCTTCTATTCTTCACTCTGTGAAAGGAACTCAATCAACAAGTCCACCAAATAAGACTACACTAGCTAACGCAACGGATATCTATAACGGGGAATCCACAACTCCTGGTTTTGAGGTGTTCGATTGCTATAATAAATAAAGATACCTTTTATAGAGTAAAAGGATACTGAGTGGAAACGCGCTTGGTTTACATCAGTTCATGCTTCTGAAGAATAGCACAGCGACTATAAGTGGTTTGCCAGATGTTTTACCGAATTTCCTGTCAGAAGATGGGTTAACTAGCCACATTACAAGAAGTCTGATTCTTGCAAACAGAAGTCACGAGTTCACTCAGGTGCGTTTAATCATGCGAAAACAAGGAGTGTATAGGTGCACAAAAACTTCGCGTTCATAAAACATTCTTCTGAACAGTTGTCCTAACTATTCGGGATTAGCCCACACAAAAGGTTGGGGCAGTATATTCTATTTTCGCTGTCATCAGAACAACACGCTTGCTCCTCAGGTCAGATATCCGAGGTTCAAACCTCTGCATGACCGAGGATATTTGCTGCTAGTGAGCTCTGATGAGAGCAAAACTTATATCTATGTGAATTCATCAGAAAAATTACGCCAGAATTGAAGAACAGCTGTTCAGACAAAAGTGGCGTGGACTCGAAATTCAGAAGTCTTGTAAACACCTACAACCCATCATAAAATAACCACACAACGCCACAATTCACATGGTCTCGTGATATGTAAAGTTTGGCTCATTTTGTGTGGGATATGACGGGCATTGCTCTTTCATGTTCGTGACCAACGTTTGTAATCAGATGTGTCCAAAGGGGGGCAGATGCTTCAGAAACGATTGTTTGTGAGTCAACCAATCGATTACATATGATCTGTCACTTATGTGATCAAATAATTGACTGGGTGTGCCGTTAGTTTGTAGCTTCCAGATTGCTTCGCAACTGTTACCTACAAGAGCCATGCTGGTTTAGATCACACAACACTAAAACCAAAGACCCCATGGTGTTCCCGGTGAGTTGCAACCCACATTACATCTATATTGGAAACATGTTGAATGGTAATCAAGTTTGGATCAATTAGGTTTCTACAGTGGACCAAATGTGACCAATTACGCGACCCTGTGTTGAAGAACAGTGCATTAACAACCTATTGAGTTCTTGCGAAACGAAGGATGTGGGCAATTTCATTAAACACTCAAACCAAAAACAGTGTATGAAGGCAGAATGAACGAACAGCGAAACTTTGCGTGCTCCGTTGCTGTCAACGCCATGAAGCTTAGCACAGTCTTAGGGGCCACAATGCAAATAGACGAATCTAAACGAGGACGACTGATCGGCCATATTAGATATTCTTTAGGATGAAAAGTTTACATGGTTGACATGGTTTCTGGAACAGCAAAAGAACATTATTAAGTCCGAGATTTGCCCCAAAGTAAGGATATAATGCAGGATTAAAACTACTAGAGAAAGTAGGCCCACCTGCATTAATTTTCAGTTCGATTTGTATTTGCCAAAGAACATGATTTACAGAAAGGCATTTCTCATGGACCATAAAATAGAATAATAGAATAGAACAGAATATTGCTATTAATACTTATTACTATTACTCATTTGTTGTTCGTATTTATGCAGTGCTTTTGTAAGCAGCTTTTTAGCCTTGAAGTAATAGCCGTGGATCTCGCTACCCACGAAAGAAAGAAGGCCTTTGCCTCGAACCCATCTGCAAGCATCCTTTTCACGCCAGTCTGAAGGACAGCTTAGAAGTTGTTGAGCTGTCACTCACCCGTCATTTCTTATATGAAATCTCTTTGCATCTGTGCACCATAATCGACCTATTGACGTGACATGTCTTTCTTTTCTCACTACTAGTGAAACGAAGAAGGCCTTCGCTGTGGAGCCATTTATTAAGAGATGCCAACTGACCCCTTACAGACTATTGAACAGGACAGCAAAACTCTAATTGCATCTTATTTACAAAACCTAGACACCCATCTTCTCCTGGAGATTCATTGACTCCACTCATTTGTCGGTCAAATCCAAGCAAATGCTACAAAGTGGCTCCACGAATTCCGCAACAGATCTTCCCTTTTCAAAAGACGCAAAGCGAAATTCTACGAACAACACATACTAATCGCGTGGCTCCCCATCAGTAGTATCACCGTTGCACTAGTAGCAAGAAATAATTGCATATTGTGCTATAATCGTCGCCATATCGGAAAACAGGTCAAGCTAGTATCTCACTAATGTGGACCGAAATTTTGATACGACATTCGCCATAAGCAATGATAAAATAACCAATCAGAGCGATTTAGCTATTTCAACTTGACATTAAATTTGCTAGCAAGAACAAGCAATACTAACATCTTCATCAAGAGAAACAATCGAGTTCGTAGGCGAAGCATGTATCTTAAATCTGTGAATTGAGAACTTTTTTATAAGATTTTCTCCTTAGATGAAACCACTACCTTTGTTTAAGTCACTTCACTTGGACTTACCGAATTTTCTTATAAAACATCTTCAGCACTGAGTTTTGACGCATACTTGAAAGATCAAGGCAGAATGAGAATGCAGGATTTCACAGGAAAGTATTTCCTCTGCTTTATCCAGGTCACAACCTGCTTCTGTATCAAGGTAGAAAAATAAACGACTGGATTTCAGGTGGTTTTATAAGCCCAACTGAGTAGCATACGGGGCGCATTTCCAGCTCCCGACCAGTCTGATGTGAGTACAAATAACGCCCGTAAAATACAACTTGACTAATCTGTTCACCTCAAACTGCACCTAACCGTATAAAACGTGCTCAGGCAGAACGCAAAGGCAACTATCCGCCTATCCAACTGATAATTCAGATCAACAGATAGGCTACTGAGACCCTGCATCATCGACCAGTCGTAAAACAAAAACTCAGTTGCACATTCGGCAGAGGTCGTTACTGTTAGATGTACAGTATCGAATGTATGCGCTCAGAATTATGCTTCTTTTTGTTTGACATCGCACAAGTACGGACGTTTAGGTGCTTGAAGTGAAACCACCCTGTAATACAAAGTAAAACGACAAAAACCAGCCTGTTTTATCCCACACGCTTCATACAAATAATCCTCAGGCATCCAAACCAGTTAACTGCTGCGTATTTTTTTACACGGTTTCCTTTTCCACTGGGATATCTGTGGTGACATCAGTAGACCGATATTATGAAATCGCTTGATTTGTAATCATTTTATCAGGGAGTTGCTTTCGCTCGCGCCTTGTTTTCAGCTCATCACTATTATTGACAGCATTACCACATTATAAGAAAGGTGCTGCGCGGTCATGCAACCACGCTAATTTATTTCAATAAAGTCATCTTTTAACAAGAAGAAAAAGATAGGGAATATAGGAATACCTACTACTATCCTATAAAAACCTTCTGATGTGCGCTCAACTCCAACATTCAATCAGACAACATGGATGGAAACTTTCAGCATAAACTTCGCTAACACATTTTAGCCTTCCAGTATTTCCATTCCAGCCGAATGCAAGGAAGTCATGTAATCCTGGAATACGAGCAACACGAACAACGCCCAAACTTTTCGTACTGTTCTTCATCCCTACTACTTTGGTGCATTCTGCCCATCTTCAGGTTTCCGCCGCTCCGAATAAGACATGGACAATAGCGACCGTTTCAGCAACTAGTAATTAGGCATGCGTAACATATGGTGCAACCAAAATAGCTTGTGGTACAGCATGCAACGTTTGAGGGAAGCACCGTCCGCTTCACCGACCTAATTGATAGTTCTGGGTCTTCGATGGTCAAACAAGTGAATATGCCCCAGATCCTTCACCCGATGTCGGCAAGTCTAGAGACCGTAAAACCATAAATCCTAAACTATAGTCCAACCCACGCGTCTTCTGAGACCCAGCGATATGCACTTTTTTGCCACAAGTGGTTCAAATTACCAGAAGTACTTCTGGCACTCGTGGGCTGACCACCGCCAGATCTGATGCAACTTGCAAGACACGTATCAATTTCCAACACATGAGATTCACTCTTTGAGTTCTCAAAGACTCAAAGACTCTACGCTTCCGCAAAGTGATTTTGCATCACGTGGACGCCAAGCACATTCTGATGGAACGAATGATCTTGGTCAGCTTTTCTACCACTGCATCTCGCCATTCTTCAGAATCGTCTGCATATTCCATTCGAAGAGATCTGAACACTAAGACTTTGGACACGTTTCAGTATCCGCATGATTATACCGTCAGTAAAAAAAATGTAAGCATAGAAGAAAGGAATAAAATTTTTTACCGGACACCACTCCCTGTAGGGAAGCCTTTGGAAAGCACCCCATACAATCTTATGTGACCACAAATAGGTGGATACAAATAGCGCATGATATTCACCAACTTCTGGGAAATACCCTGTTGCGCGGACGTTTTGGAAAGAACTGACCGATCAGTAGCACCGAATGCAATCATTCAATCATAAAACACCAGGATTGCGGGGCATAGTATGCATGCCACCACCCTAACATTTCTTAGAGTGTAAAAAAGTAATCCACATAGTCTCTATTCGGTGTGAATGATGCTTGGTGTTCTAGGGTTCCGTCTTAACGTGCCATTATAAGACAACCCAATGAGTACAGTTACAACGAGGCTGGATACATTTTGCCACAGTATTATTGCCACGCTCGAATTTTCAGCGCCCCTTTTGCAAATGGGCATCATTATCAACTCATTTTGCTGATGAATATCTCTTTTCGCACAAGGTATGCAAATCGGTTGGACAAAAATCGACTGATTATTTAGGCTCCATTTTTGAACACAGTGGGAGGTAGTCTGTCAGGATCGAGATTCGAATCTCACTGTCCTGAGCTGCGTTGCCTGTTGGGAACCCGGCTAAACAATTGCAGGCGGCTAGATGAATGAGTCCCAAAACCCTACAGTCCAGAGATTCACCTGCTTCTCTTTCTCACGAATTTTCAGCTCATCGGAAGTTTTTTTTTTCCCGTTGGAAAAACTTGCGCACACACTCAAATTATCTTGCCCCCTCCATCTCTTCATTTCCTTGGATCCACCCAGCTCCTCGATCCGCGCAGACACTCATTTTCATCTGAAGTCTGACAGTTCGTCATGTGGTACTGTACTGGCCAGCAGAAATACGCGTCCTAGATTCGAGCCATTTCGTTTTTCTCGAGATCCTGCGCTTCGATCTAGTTGGTTTTGCCCTCCGACAAGCGGAGCGTCCAACATCTTGTGGACAGTACTTTCCAGTAAAAGTCAACAACAGAAGGCGTGTTGTTGGAATGTTACTTCAGTAGATGGTTCTGGAAGACTTGTTTCACCTAAGGTGATGTAAGCTTCTCAATGGACAAGCGAAACATATGAACCTTGCGGGCCACTGAAATGTACACGGAGAAGCAGCAACGGACAAACGGGTCGTCCGAAGTCACCGTGGTGTTCCAAAAAGAGTGACAGTCGATAACTGACCCAATCTATCCATAGCTAATGGCGATGTAATTTATCTATGCTGGAGGTTGACCCACACAAGAGGACGCCACGTGGCCAAGCGGCTATGGTTTTTCGGAATTTACTACTGCACAAAAACTGTCCGTGGTCAGCACAAAACTACAACAAGCGTTTGCCATTTTCCAAGCCTCTTGATTCCATTCCAGGTTGAACCACAGCAGTGCTAATTCTGCATATATTAATATCCCAGAAACCGTATCCATGACTCAGCTCTTAGCCAGCCGCAACAAACCGCCAAAAGTGTCTCAAAAATTGTCATGTATTGTGTCCGAGCTACGGACTTTTGGGAAGTAACCAGATACAGTGAACAGGCAGCAATTGTCGGTGCGCTAACAAGATAACTTCACATACGTTTGCAGACGAACAGCATGGAGTTGACTATCAATGGGCAATCATTCAACCGCAGGCCCTTCAGTTTGGTGACATGAAACTACACCAACTCCAGCGGAACCAGCCGCAGCGGTTTCCGGATCATCTGAGGTGCAAAACCAGAAGCAAGCGGAAACCACACGAGAGGTTAGTTAAACAAGCGTTATTCGGTCTCCAATTCTCGTTTCAGACAAACAGCACATAATAATGGAAAGTGAGTCGGAAATGCATACAAGAACACTCTGTTGTCCAGCTTGCTTCAGTGTGTGAATCCTAAAGGCTACAAGTGAATTGAGCGTTCGAGGGATGCCATCGAAGTGTCTGCAACCGTGGTACCCGCGTCGACCACAGATATCGCAGCTAATGGCAGTGGATAACCAACGGACCTGTCAGTCCTTGAGAATGAGCCTAGCGATGGGGTGATGAGGGGAAGAAGAACAAATATGTGAAAGATTGAGGCAAGGGTCGTCAGCAGTAGCCTATTTTCGCCTACCCACGTAAGATGACCCGGTGACACAAGTAAGATGACTCGGACAATGGCACTACGCAGCGGTCGAAATCAGCAGCAGCAATTTTCGCCTACCCACGTAAGATGACCCGGTGACACAAGTAAGATGACTCGGACAATGGCACTACGCAGCGGTCGAAATGGCATGCTATCATCTGTAAGTGTGAAATTCATGGTTGTACTTGGGTTGAGATACTGTCAAGGCGCCCAAACCGAGACAAGAGGACGGTTAGCATCCTCAAACAATGTCTCAAATAAGGACAGGCTTTTGTGGTACTCCATCGTGTTTCGTGTTACTTATGTGGGTTTAGCTAAATGCAAGATGCCAGTTTACGGCGAACCAAATAAAGGGTATATTAGCCCTCTTTCTGCAGTTTAGCAAGGTTGCGCCTATAGGTCGCTTGTGGATGCGAGAATCTCCTAATCGAATTCCCCATCAAGACTTCCCATCAAATGGTAGTATTTTGATAGCATTGCCGAAGGCGTGTGATGAAACACGGATGTCGAGAACTACTTTGGGATTCACCAGAGGCGAGTAGCGTTCGGAGCGTAGCATTTATTTTAGCTATATATTTGTCTACTCGCTAGTAGTCAAAAGTCAATGATGACACAGCATCAAAATGACGAAGAGAAGTACCCGCGCAAATTATCATACTAAACTCGTGGCGCCTTCGTACTTAGAAGAGACTATCATGTGGCTGCGTTAAGTGGCAAACGACAGCCCACGAACCTACTCAAGAGCGTGAAATGACTCTCGGTGAATCGAGAAGCGAACAATCTAAGATCGGGGTCATTAGTGTTCATCACCAAAAGTAAGAGCTTTTCTTGCAATTATTCGAACAGAATACTGTTCCACAACATCAGTAAGAAATTTCGTTCAATGTTCGGAAGTGGGGTTTTCAACAGTTCGTACTGTCCACCAACTCAGAATTTTCGGACTATTCAAAACCGGTAAAGCGAGTTACTCTCATCACCGTAAACTACACAAGACTGCCTGGTGAAAGTATATAATTGGGTCATTTGGACGCTCATTTCTGTTGCATTATATACTTTAGATTCAAGAGTTAGAAAAATCATCGCTTAGACGTTTTGATTACACCGGATGCCGTTTGTTCTGACACTTTTCCTGTATTCCACGCTCTCCGCCGTATGTTCTAGCATATTTTCCCATCTACCAGCTAATAGTCCCTTGGGGCTAACCAACCCGAATTACATACCCCTGACGAACACTGATCTTGAGTGTGGAAAGACCAATACCACCTTCTGTATGGACGGGATAGTTATGCTTCTTCATTCCCTTCTACATTCCTGCCTTCCTTCATTGTTGTCCGATTGACCACCACCATTAGTCCGTTTGACAGATGAAGCAAATGGTTTGCTAAGCTCATCGGCCTAATGAGATGGATAATTAGTTGACTTTATTTCTGCAAACTAATGCTATTCAAATTGGTATCTCGACCACTAAGCTATCTCTCAAGATCCTCATATTGATGTGGGCTTGAGAATTGATGGGTGGGTGGGTGAGGTTCATGCTTTGTGGTTGATCAAACTCCCAACCTCACATTTGCTGAGTGACAAGTTTGTACGACGAAGTCATACTAGTTGTGATAGGCGTGTTGGTCAGGCGTGAAAATTCCAATCAACTTCAGTTAAATCGGGTCGGTTAAAGGAATGAATGAATGAATACATAATTTCCAAGGGATAATTAGCAAAGTTCAGTGAAAAACAAATGACTGAGATGCTGAATTGGGGCACACGTATTTGTTTGTTCAGCTGGTTTAATTACAGTGTGATTCCGAGCATCCTTCTCCAAACAGATTGCTGAATTTTGTCCTAATGGTGAGGAATTTGTCCGGTCTACTCTTTCAAAAATACGTATCCATTTTTGCACCGAATATCTCAACACGAAAGTCGTTTTAAAGATGCTGTCCAGGGTTTCATCTTTAAAAACCCTAATAGTGATACTCCTGATTATGTAGTATCTATCGTTGTGGTCGCAAAACGATTCAAAAATCACTTAAACTGAATGAGTGTGAGTTTATGATATCTCTCAGCCGGTTTGTCAGTGGGCTGATTTTTTTCTATCAAGCTTCATTTTCCGAGCTTAACATGGTTTTGTGCTGTCGGATAACCACCAATTTCATTTGTATTATCAGCGTAAATAATATTCACATAAACTGGCCGAAGTGATCCTTTTCGGGCAGGCTCTAGTGGGGGTGACTGAAAGTTCAAAGGTTTTATGCAACTACTGAGAATTTATTGATGCCAAAAGTTTCGAAACCAAACTGTCAAGATCAGAACAGAAAAATAGCCAACTGTACAGCCTAAGTTACCAAGATTCCCAATACCTGTTCACAGAAAAAATTATCTATACTACTAATAGATCCCGTGCCGGCTGAAAGGACTAGGGACTGTGTGTGCGAAATTAACTGCAACGATTGCGCTAAGGTTTATATAGGACAAACTGCCAGGGAATTGCACACCAGAATTGGTGAGCATAAAAGAAGGAGTAACAAACCACCAAGGATTGCAGAAGAATACCAAACGCTGGTCAAAGACTCAGCGATGGTTGTACATGCCTTAGACACGGAACACAGAATAGATCTGGAGAATGTGGAAGTTTTAAGACGGGGACTGCGATTCACACCACAACGGCTGATAGCCGAGGCGGTGGAAATCACTAAGCATCACAGTGTGAATAGAATCGAGGATGTGGAGCTAGCGAGCGAATGGAAAGCGGTCTTAGGTAAGCCGAGTTGACACGTGACGATATGGTTGTCAGTCCACTTAGGATCATTAGAAAAAACCGGGGGATGAGGGTGGAAACCCCAACCGACCAAAGGTCACAGCATCCCTCTTACACAACCTTCTTAGCACTAGCTCACCCACACAGACTGACAGAAGGTTCAAACGAAGTCAAAGAGTAACCATCAAATGAACCGAACCAGAAGAACTAGACCCTAGGCTGGACCCAAACACATGTAGGTTTCCCCGCCGACCCAACACGTGTTCAACCACTCTAACACACTAAAATCCCTCGGCCGACACCCAACAGAGATTTAGCTTGACTTAGCTGATTGGTTCTCCTTCCGCCTTAAATCTCGACCTACCTCGGAACCTAGTCACTTGGCCTAACGAAGCTTTCGTGTCAAAGGCGAAACGTTGCCCAGCAGTAAATCTACCGATTGTCACCAAACTTTTTCGAAAACGATATCTATACTTACGTTTGCACACAAACAGGAATATGATATTGACGAGTTCAGCAGTAACTTGAAGGATGAGTGTTTACAAGGAAAATGATTTCGACAAAGCGATGGCTCATTTTACACTCCATAATTTGCACCATCACCAAATACAAATTGTGTAAGCGCCCTTCTTGATCTTGCTATTTCATCCTATCTGGTAAATTTTCAACTGTGTGGCACTGCTTAAAATCGAAACCATTTCTCACTCGTCCGTTCGAAAATGAAATGCTGTCAACTTGTGACCAGTTAGCTTACGTAAGATTTTTCATGTTACGCGCCAGGCTGTGCGCAAACCTATCCCGCATAAAACGGGCTTTTAAATGAGACTTAGCACAAGGTTCCAAAACTGGCTTATGTAAAATGTTCACATGCAAATATCCATACATTTATTTAGTTTGGCTTAGCATTCTGACATGCCCTGGAAATTCGCTGACGTACATATTCAAATCAATAGTGTTCCCGCATGGGCGCTCTTGTGGTAAAACTGAGAAGTTCACATGTGTGTTCACATGTGAACAGGTTTCTACAACTTCTGATATTACAGGGAAGTCACTTTGGGACATATTCCATCTTGTCTTGTCCGGGCCACCTGGTATTCACCAAATCTCGGAACACTCATCAGTAGAGGCTTTGTAGCTCTAAAGATGTGACGTGATGTGCCATTAGGATATACAATCATGTGAGAAGAAAGAAGCTCGATAATGAGAATCCTGCCAGAAAACCGGGTTTAGGGTTGTTAGAATGTTTCACAAAACCTAAACATGTGGCAAGAGGGTATGTCATCATTCTGTCTAACCACGGGCACGTGCCGTGAAATTTTAGCTAACTATCTTGCTGGCTCCTCTGGCACAATGACGTGAATTAGGTGGTCAATTATAAAAAAATCCGTCAAAAAAGAGATTTGCCTACCGAAGCAACAAAAGCCACCACATAGACGTGACTTCCAGAAGACTGATTTGTGATACTGACACATCGTTAAATGTCGCTGGACACGTGTTTACATCAGCAGATGATTGATCAACGGGTGAATTTCATCTCAGCATCGGTGGTCATGTGCCTGGTTGTTCGGGTTGGCCCGGCTTCCGTGAAACGTGTCGAAAGAACGTTCTCAACCATTCTTAAGAGTGATTGAAATGAAGGCGAGTTATGCTGCTTCCCTTGGACAGCATGAGCAAACGCATGAATCTGATCGAGGCTATATTAAGACAGTATCTAGCGGACTATGTCAGACTGATAAGAGCTCGTTGGCTCCCAATGAAGAAAACCTAGTTTTCTGACTAGTCGAAAGCAATAACAACAACAGCCACTCTATTTGTGTGTTTTCGTAAGAGCTATTCTGAGATGTTTGATTCAACCCAACCTCACAAAGTTGGGATTTACTACCAAAGTCCATTCGGTACATTAACCCTCCCACCGGTGAATAATTGGGGTGAAACAATAATCAGACTGAGATCAAAATTCTATTTATTCAGCATTCGCAAAATCTAGTCAGTATTTCATTACTTAAACGTCACTTGTTCTGCTTCATTTTGCACATTGCAGTTTGTTGGAACATAGTTAAATCACGTCCTCAGCACGATCCCTCATTTCTGTTATCGGACAAGGTGAACTCATGATATCTACTGTATTGCATTTTAAGAAAGCATTGTCTGCTGCGCTGGCAAACTGGTTCTGCTGCCGGCTTCATTCCCAAACCACTGAATTAACAGCCAGAAAATTTCCCAGCACTCAAGTGAGACTACTGTCTTTGCTAGCTAATACTCCAAAAATATGATGCAATAAGCCAGTTTTTCTCAACTTTTATTCGGGCCAGTAGTGGTCTGTTTGTTTTTAGAGCTGCGGAGCTTTACCCTAGGGACCTCCTATCATTCCCTTGTCACATATAGGATGTATGCTAACGTCTGCTCAATTTATGATTGAATCAGTCTATCGAGGCAAAAACACTCTAGAAACGGAACTTGGGTTACCCGATTAGAGAAAGTGGACTCGCGAAACCAACCGAAGTTAATCAACTCTTCTGAAGAATATCACCAAACTAGAAGTAAAAGAGATGATCACCCAGCTGGAAAACGCTTGGAGCCGATTGAGCAGTCATCGTTTCCCGGAAGGTTTGGGATTGTTCTCAAAAACAAACAAGAGTTTTTCTTGAATATTGCACCGATTGAAACATCAGGCGTTCTTTCTGCGATGTATTCAGCTGAAGAATATCATAAACTAGAGATTCAGTTGAGTCTTGCGTGAAAACCAAATTGATTTGCAAATAAGTGTATTTTATAAACCAGAATGGTCTTCACTGGTGAATTTAGGATATCATAAACACAACTCGCAGTGGCATCACACGATTGATTTTCTGTCAAAGCCAGAAAATGTGCCAGTCAGACTGTCCACAGTGATGCCCTCCAACTGACGGTAGGCAACGTTCTCAAAACCGAAACAGGCATTTTCTGTGCACAGAAGAGCGTGAAAACAAATTGATTTGCAAATAAGTGTATTTTATAAACCAGAATGGTCTTCACTGGTGAATTTAGGATATCATAAACACAACTCGCAGTGGCATCACACGATTGATTTTCTGTCAAAGCCAGAAAATGTGCCAGTCAGACTGTCCACAGTGATGCCCTCCAACTGACGGTAGGCAACGTTCTCAAAACCGAAACAGGCATTTTCTGTGCACAGAAGAATAACATATTTTAGTAGAGAAGGCAGTGAGCCTACTATCATTTTGGCTGTGAAAGAGACAATCAACAATTTTAAGTGGTTATACTTTGGTAGAACTCGGTAACATTCCATGAATAATCCAACGCACTTCAAGCACTGGGGTATTGGAGTTGTCTGATTTGGATTTAAAGCACTGATAACCATCACTCCGACAAGAATAATTGTGCATAATTATTATGGACTTGAGTGATACTTTGGGTACGTAGATGTTCGGTGAATCCTCTGTTCTTGGTGTCCGGTTTCCAATCGCTTCACGCGGGGCAGCAATTCGCTCGTTTTCATGTGAACTTAAGCAGGGGAATCTACTGAACGCTTTGCTCAAACGGTGAATCACCGATAGCTACACTAGGGATAGAAACGGAGTGTGCACGGCCTGACAATACGTTATTCAAGCGTAGATTGGCAAGACCACCACTATATTCCTAAGTGCACAAATGAAGCACCTGAGCAAATACTGGCAATACTGCAAAAGTATTCACTCTAATGGGAGAACATGCATTGCACTAGTGGACCACTGTGATATTTACCATCGATGGCACTTTAAGCGTCCTATTTGCGCCCACCAGAGAAGGCTCACTCGCTTTTAAGTTGTCACCTACTGCACGGCTTATCTTCATCAACCCTTAGGGAGTGATTATTTGAACATAACGCAAGTTGGCAGTAAGGACCCTTGCACCCACTATTTTAACTCCGGGGTAACTTGCTTTATCTCTATATTGTATTACCTAGTGTTCGTGTCCACCGGTTTGGCCTATTTTCAGGAACTTCCACTCATGGCGAGATTCTGTCATTATTCAACGTTATACTTATCAGATCACAGCACTCTTCAACAGATGACTAGTTTGTTTCCTCAAGTGCGACACTATTCTACAAAACTTATGCAGATATTTCTTAGTAGTAACTAGAGCGTTTTGTCACCGTAAACAAAAACATACGTTGAATCGTAATTTCATCAAAAGTATCATGGATCCATCCAACTGGTAGAACGGTGCTTTACCTAAGAGCGTAAAGCAGTTAGAAAGATTTTNGAAAGATTTTGAAACTAACTCCCGATATTTTGGTGATAAACCCCCAGGGGCACATTTTTGATCCGATGATCGCACTATCTTCTCACTAACACAAAATCTTAACCGAATCCGCTCCGGTTGACGCCACAGGTGGTGCACACGTGTAAACAAAGTCTAAAACACCTGCCCAATTATATCCCGTACATCTGTTTAATCAAACAGTGGTACCCGAAATCTGAGTGAAAGTGGTCCAGGCCAGGTCCATTCTCCCCCCAAACACCCACATAGTCACCGCAATAACTTGGTCGCTCCTTGTGCAGGAAAGGTAATTTAAGTAGGATACAGCTTACCCCTCAACATTGTGTTTATCCCCAGGTGCTGTCTCTACACGTCAATGTTTTCGTACCTAACAAGTAGACCGTGCGCAAGCATTCCTGTGTTTAACATACAAGTGTTCATTAGCATATTAGTACACAGGTGCGAAATCATATCAGCTAAATGAGAAAAAGGTGATGGATACTATAGCAAAGGAAAGAGAATGTGTCCGTTCCTTGGTATAACGTGATGCACATGTGCTAACGTGCATATGCGTGTGTTTGTGTAAGATCTGTAACCACCACCGCTTCTGTCAGTTTCTGCATTGCTAGACACTCGGCCGTATCCAGTTATCCATCTGCTCCAATTTATACGCTTATTGGTATGCATATGTTTTCTCCAAAAAAACGGCTCACTGCAAACCATCATAGACTGTTTCGACTTCTATACAGTGTTGTGTC